AGCCACAGCCCCACCAAGCCATTGCCCCACACAGCCATGGCCCCACCAAGCCATTGCCCCACACAGCCACGGCCCCACCCAGCCATTGCCCCACATAGCCATTGCCCCACCCAGCCACAGCCCCACCAAGCCATGGCCCCACCCAGCCACAGGCCCACCCATCCCCCCTACCTCATGCTGACATTGAGTTTTCCACCTCCAGCAGCTTCTGACCCTTCTCTGCTTGGTTATCTGAGATACCCTTTGGTTAAATGTAGGGAGCACTTATTGAGCACCTGTGGTATGTAGGGCCCTATAGCTTTGCCTCCCCTAATCTTCTTCCTATTCCTGAGGCCGCAAACCCTCCACCCTAACTGTGTCTCATGACCCCCAGGGACTTCGAGCGGCAGACAACGACCCCACAGCGCCCCCCTATGACTCCCTGCTGGTCTTCGACTATGAAGGCAGCGGCTCCACCGCGGGCTCCGTCAGCTCCCTAAACTCATCCAGCTCCGGGGACCAAGACTACGATTATCTGAACGACTGGGGGCCCCGGTTCAAGAAGCTGGCGGACATGTACGGAGGTGGCGAGGACTGACAGACCTCTCCCCGGACCAAAGCCGGACCAGCACTCGGAGGGACAGACGGACAGACAGAGGAGCAGGACTGGGGGAGGCCACTGGTCCTCCCGACTCCCTGCAGACACGTCATTTAGTGGTGTGCCAGGGGGTCTCCCCGCCCCAGCCCCCCAACATTGAGCTGTCTGGCATGAACACTTCTCGCCGCCGCCCATCACGGGAGCTGACAGTCACTAAAGGAAGCGAGAGGCACTGAGTCCTGACTTGATCTTAGAACAGAAGCACTGCTTAAAAAAAAAAAAAAAGTGCCTTTTGGTACATGTATCGGTTTCCCTCAAACTCAGGAGTGACTGAAGCAGACAGACCAAGCCCCCCACCCCAGCCCCAGCACCTACCCCAGCTCTTCCTAGCTCCGAAGGCACCAATTTAGGAATCAGGAGAATGTGTTTCTCTTTTTTTTTTTTTTTTTTTGGCCTTTTATGAAGGAAAAAAATGGGTGACTCGCTTGACAAAATTTACAAAGAAAACATAGTTTGGGATCCAAATCCCAACAGCTCAAGTGTTGCCTCATGCAGCCTGGGTCTCCTGGACCCCTTGGGGTGCCTGAGGCCAGGGGGGCGGGGAGCCCAGCTTCGGCTCCTGCGGCTGTGTTCCCCGGGCACGCCAGAGCCCGTGACCAAAACCGCTGTGTGAGCATGGCTTTCATTGTGGCCCAGCCGTGCACCCCCCTCCCAAGATGCTTAAATAACTGGGCGGGTGAGGTTCCCAGGGGCCATCTCTGTCCTTGGCTGTCTCCCCGGGTGCCCCTGGTCAACCATTAGGCTCCCCCACCCCGAACACCAGCCAGGCTCCCACTGCCTTTGGTCCAGGAAAGTATTGTGTCCCAAGAAGCCACAGCCCAAACCATGGCCTGAGCCCTCCTCCCCTCCAGACCAAACCTTGTCACAGGCCCAGCGAGCACCCACAGCACAGCCCAGGCCATGCCCGGGGCTGTGCGGACTCCAAGGCAGAGGCAGCCTCTGTCCCTGCCCCACCATGCGCAGTCAGAGCTCTCACTTGCTGAGCGGCGTGGACGGCCGGGACCTGCTTGGAATGTCCTGAGATGCAGCTGGGTGGCACCTGCTGGAGACAGCAGACCATCCTTCCTCTGGACCGGGTCGCGCCCAGCAGCTGAAACCGCCCTGCGAGTACCAGTCTGACTCAGTCCAGAGGCCGGGGAGTCAGTTCTGCGGGATGGACAGTGACGGGCGGTGTTCCAGGGCCCTGGGGGGACCCCGGCTGCAATCACGCTGAGTGAGAAGCAGCCCCTGGGGCACCCCTGGATGTGAAGGCGCCTCCGGCCGGCAGGAGACAGGCACCCTCAAGGGGGACCCTTGTGCTTGGTCCACCTCAGGCTCCCCGAGGAAGGGGGAAGGGTGCCACTGGCCTGGGCAGGACTTGGCATCAGGGCCCCCTGGGGGAGGGGAGCCCCAGCTGACCAAGGACAAGGAAGCTGGCCTGCTCCTGGGAACAGGGAGGAGCCTGGGGAAGTTGGGGTGCAGCAAGGCAAGTGTTCCCCCTTCTCCACCTGGGGTCGTTGAGTCGTTCCTCCTCCTATGGCCTGTCCCCGTTCATGGTCACCCTCTTTTCAGAACAGCTTTGGCCTTGAAGGTGAACTTGAGTGCTCATGGGCATGTCCCCATTGGACATCAGGGTTCTTCCCCAAACCACACTCACCAACTCCGTCCATTCTCCCAGAGCCGAGCTGGGCTGCAGCTGCAGCCTGTCCCACGAAGGGCTGCGTGGGCTCTGTCCCTGACCCGTCCCTGGCTGCCCAGGGAGGGAGGTCACTGTGTCACAAGCTGGAAGTCAGGGGGTGACCTTCCAAGGGGAGGGGACCAGGCCCCCGGTCCTGAGCCTGGCTATGCAGAGTGTCGGGTCGGGGAGAGAACTGCCCCGTGTCTGCAGCGTGGCCACACGAGAGCGTGGTGGTGGGGTCAGGGCTGGTAGGAAGTGAGCTGAGATGTTGTTTTTGTTTCTTTGGGGAAAGTGCATCCTTCAGGCGACGTGCTAAGTGTGACTGTGGCTCTCCAGCTGAGGCAGCTGTGGGCCCCTCCCTCCAGCCGAGTCCTCCTGGGCCCCCAGGGTTCACCTCAGGGATGGCGGTGCCCAGCCAGCCCAGGACTCAGCAGCCCGTGCACCGACCCACCCCTCCTTTTCACCCTTCCTGTCCCTCTGCCCCGAGGTGGATGTCCGTCTCTTGTGCCTCCTTCCGGCTCCTTCCCCTCCCCCTGCCTCTTGTTACTGCCAGGCCCCTGGTTCATTTTGCCTAAATCCTGCAGGCTGAGGCTGCAGCAGCCTGCTGGGGACGTCACAGGGGCCTTCCCATGCCTGTCCCTGCTCCCAGACAGCGGGACAGCTGTGCCCTCTCCCTCCCACCCCGGCAGCCCCCGGGGGCCAAAGAAAGATGGGTGCCCACCCCCTCCCAGATCCAGATCCATGCTGGAACTCTTCTGAGGCCAACGAGTTAGCATTAGCTAAGCGTACAATCGGTGTCGAACGTCTCTTATGTAGCTTACAGATTTGGCATGTCCATGACCAGGGAGCTGGCCTGGGCCCGGACTCAGCGATGGCCAAGAGCTGGGGCGTGGCTGGTTACTGGGGGAGTTTTGTTCTGTGAGCAGGAGAGTCCAGTGCTGCAGGGCAGTGTCAGGAGGCCCTGACCTTGGTCACTGGCACCCCAGTCCAGGGCCGCCATGTTTGCCAAGCAGGTCTGCGCTTCCTCATGTCCTTCAGCACATCCGAAGTGTCAGGCTGCCAGGCCCGGAGACCCCCAGTGAGAGCACAGCCCACACAGGCCCCGGGAGCACAGCTCTGGTAGAAGCTGGGGAGGGAGCAGTCGGTGCTCACAGGAATAGCACCGCAACCACGACAAAGCCTCGCGCGCACAGGGCGTCCCGGGACGCAGCTCGCGCACCGTGGTGTACATAGGCGGCCCGGTGCCTCGCTGGGCCACATCTCTGTGCAACTGGAACGCGTTCTGCTTTCCTTTCTCCTTCTTCATTCGGGTTCTTTTTTTGCATGTTTCTTTTGAAAAGGACAAAACGTGTAGCAGCCCGCATGACTGTGGTTGTTTTGGCGAAAGATACTGGAGTGTGATGTATTCGCGCTGCAACTCTGAGCATTGCGCAGTGAGACAAACGTTCCGACTTCTTTTGTAATCGTCAACAGCACAACTATTTTGTATTGTTGTTTGTATCATTTTGTACCAAAAAAAAAGAAGAAAAAAAAACAGGAAAAAAGGGAAACGCGTCGATGTTTTCAGTGTTTTCAGTGCAGCGGCGAGTCCTGCTGCCGAGTGAGGAGCAGTGCACGCTTGTCCCGCAGCGTCCGGGCGCCGCACGCTGCTCTGAGGAGTGAATAAAATCCCCTTTGAAATAGCTGCCTCCCCTGGCTTGTTTCTGTCCCCGTGGTCAAAGGCGGATGGCACTCGGACGCGGGGTGGACAAGCGTGTAGGGTTTGGTGTCGGTGGGACCTGTCCACTCAGCAAACGCTGTGTGCGCACCTGCTCTGTCCCTGGCGCTGTTCTGGGCTCTGGGAGCACAGACAGAAACGACCAGGCCCCTCACACTGAGGCCCAGGGAAAGTGTGCAAATGCAGGTCCACATCACTGTGTCTCAATATTTCAAAGTTCTTAGATGACCCAACGCAAGCTAACAAACTAAAATAGCACATATCCCTCTCCTACCCCAAAGTAAACCTCCATGAGACCATGGAAATCTGGCTCAAATTTACAATTCTCAGGCCTCCCTCACCCCAGACTGTGAACCCAAAGACAGGCAGTCCACCCCCTAACCCCCAGGCTCAGCTACCCTTGGAAGCTCTCCGACTGGCCCAGCCTGGTCATGTGACCCAGCCTGCCCTTGATCCCCAGCCTGAGTCTGAGCTGGAGGAGCTGCAGAGCCAGCTGGCAGAGGCCACACACCAGAGACAACCAGGAGGCTCGAGCCACAGAGGCTCCACCCTCCTCAGGGAAACCCCACTAAGTGGCACAGTCAGACCCAGAGCTGGTCTGGACCCCAGCACTCCTCCCAGGCCTCTCCTGGGCCACAAATTTGCATCCACAGCAATCCCAGTGCAGGTGACCATTACAGGCACAATAGGCCACTTGCTAATTTTAAGGTTGCGAGCAGAGCAGCTCCTTACAGTCACAACTAGGCGAGTGCTGTGGCCTGCTCCTGCGGTGGGACAAACGTTCCTGTAACCAGGCCCAGCACCAGGCCCTGGGGGAAGGCTGCTTGTGTACACAGGCTCCACAGCAGAGGGCTGGCTGGCTCAGAGGCAGGGCCCGGCAGGTGCCCACCTCCTGTCCCATCTAACCCAGACCCTTGTGCCCTGAGGGAAATTTCTGTCCCACATGCACATGTCCCTACCCCATCTGCCTGCCTACATGCTGCTCATCACAGGTCCCCAGGAGCTGCCCCAGCCCCTGATAATCAAGGCCAGGCTAGGGGATGGTGACGGAGGCAGGACCCAGGTGTGGGAAACGCCCCTGAGCAGAGATAACCCCCAAGCAGGGCTACGGGTGTGGGGGCCACAGTTATCCCGCACGAATCTGCCAGGACAAAGCATCTCATGGTGAGATTGGGAGACACACTCTAACTCCCACTCTAATTTGGGGGGCCACTGTCCCAGGAACATGCTACTCATTGATCCCACAGCTCACAGGGCTCTCACGACAGCCCTGCGGGGCACCCGGCTAACCTGGACCTGCCCTGGGCGCCTACTAAAGGGCCGAGGGAGTGGGGTGTGGCCAAGTGACAGGTCACACACAGGGGCAGACTTCAGGCGGGCCTCTTCCTCCACCCTCCCTCCCAACCCAAGTGCTCCTTATCTCTCACACACACACACACACACACACACACACACACACACACACACGTATCACAGCCCCAACGCATGCCCACCACCAGGCAGGCCCCCAGCACTCTCACTCACCTGCTGCGGCTCAGAGCGGCTGCAGGGAGCTGTCCGTGGTGCTGACCCTCCAGGTGTGGGTTTGGTGGCCGTGGCTTCAGATGCCTGCAGCAGCTTCTGCTGCTTAGGAATAAATTGTCTGCTTGGAAACCTCAAGGATGAGATTGGGGACAGAGCTCCAGGCACAAGGAGGTCCCTTGGCACATCCCTCCCTGCTGAGCGGGCCATGCAGAGGCGCCCAGGGGTTGGCCCCGCGGCAGCTCCAGCTCCTCTCGGTGGCCTCCCCCTTGCAAGGCTGGGAGAACCTGGGGTGCTGAGTCCTCAGACTCCTTTGTGGGGGAAGCTTTTCTGCCCAAGACCCTCCTGTGGTCCTCACAACCCCTCATTTCACTGATTTCTTAAAGCAACTGAATTATTTTACTTATGTGTTTTTCCTTGAATATTTCCTCTGGTCTGTCTCTACCTCTTGGCAGGGCCTGGCCGGGCTCCTGAGCACTGGCCTCTTACTTTCCAAGGTCATCCAGCTGGGGGAGGAGTCCCCGAAGAGCAGGGGGCTCAGTCCCCATGGAGGGATCTGGAGGTGATGTGGGGAAGGGAGGCAGAGAAACTTCCAGAAGCATGCTAAGGGACCAGGCAGGAGGGTTGAGCTCGCTGCACCTGGAGCCATGAGTGACCTCTGCTTCAGCCACCCTGCCTTTCCCTTCCTTTTAAATTTAGGGAATGGTCGCCATGGAAACTGAGGCCCGGGGTCAGGAGCCATTGCCCAACACCGATCAGCTGGGCCTGCTGGGAGGGGTGGTGGAGAAGCCCCTCGGTGTGCACCCTCCACACCCCTGCCACCTGGCCGTGGCCAGCCACGTGAAGCCCCCACCCATGTCAAGCCACCTCTCTTCCCTCGGCTGCCGAGAGGAAGCCGCCTGGCAGCAATGCCAGCCGCTGAGGGGCTCTGGCCATGATGAGACTGAGCCCACTTCACAGGGTGTGTGCCCTGGACCCAGGAGGCCCAGCCTCAGCCAAGGTTTGTTCTCTCCAGCTCACCCCAAACACTGAACTAACTGCTGGTGTGTTTCCTGGGTCACTGTGACAGGACATGCTGGGCAGTTGACACAGATCTCTTTTCTCCCAGATCTGGAGGCCAGAAGTCCGAGCCCGGTGTCACTGGGCTGACCCAGGGCCAGGCTCCTTCTGGGAGCACCCACCTGCCTGTTCCAACTTCGACAGCCCCGGGCCGGGGCTGGGACTGCATCGCCCTAGTCTCTGCCTCTGTCTTCACGAGGCTTCTCTAACCTCCCTCGCCTCCCTCTTAAGGACACCTGTCACTGGATTTAGGACCCACAATGGCCTCACCTCAAAACCCTTAACATACACCCAGAGACCCTTTTCCCAAATAAGGTCACAGCACGGGGCTCTGGGGATTGGGACCTATCTTTTGGGGCCATTTTTCAATCGACCACAATTGTTGACATTGAAAAATCGAAATTTTAATGCCACCGCCCAGCCTCCTCTGCACCTCTCCCTCCACCCCCACCAAAATGAACCTGGGTCTGGGTTCTCTCAGGAGGTCATCTGAGTTTGGGGTCAGGGCTATGGGTGTGGAGAAGCTGCTGGAGAGGAAGCGTGAGGGGAGGGCCTGTGCCCACTGGACAGATCCCTGGTTTATCCTCAGGAGGGCAGGGTGCCGACCCTGACCCCACGTGCCACTCCCTTAGCAGAAAGAGCTTAGTCAGCTCCAAGAGGTGACTGGCACTTGCACATCCCCACCCCCGTGCACCCCACCCCCCAATGCTCAAGTCCCTGACCCTTGCCACCTGCCCCACCTCCCATGTGTCCTGTGTGCCCAGACTCCTATGCCTGGCCCTCCTGCCCGGCCCCCATGACCCTCATCCATTGCCCCCAGCTCCCACCCATGTCAAGCCACCTCTCTTCCCTTTCTGCATTCTCCTCCCAGTGTACCCTGCCCCCAGGTAAGCCCAGGTCCTGGGGGCCCATGCTGCCATCTGGCTGGCACCTGGTGGCCTCAATGCTGGAGTGCGGTCCCTGCGTGTCCTCAATGGATGCACTAGCCCCAGCCTCCCCTGTGGCCTCCTGGCCATGGCCTCCAGCAATCTCACCTGGGCGAGGCACCCTTGCCACCCAGACACCCCCGCGCTGGGGAGGGGTCCCAAGAGCGCCCCAGAGACCCTGCGCCCGCCCTCTGGACTTGCGCCCAACCCCCCCCACACTGCCACTCCTGCCTTCACCACGTCCCAGCCAAGTGTCTTCACACTGGAACACAGCTTTGTTTTTTTATTCACATTCATTTACTTCTGCATCTTCAATGAGATGTGTTTGATGTGCAATAAACTGCACATGTGCTTATGGAATGCAGTTCTACAAGTTCTGACGTTTGCACCATGGCCAGCACCAAGCCCCTCCCAACTCCCAGGAAGCCCAGGCTGTCACAGGTCCCTCCGCGTCCCAACGCTGCCGCACGATGACTCTGAGACTCGTGGTGGCTATAAAAAGGGGAGACTCAGACACACACACAGACACGCACAGGGAGAAACCACCACACAGAGGTGAAGGGGTGATGCTTCCCAAGCCCAGGACCGTCCAAGATGCCGCAAGCCAGGAGCTGGGGGAGGGGCCTGAAACGAATCGCCTCTCGGACACCCAGCCTGCAGACCTGGACGGCAGATGTCCACTGTGGAAGCCCCATGTGCTGGGCTTGGCTGCACAGCCGCGGCCGGCACAGCAGGTACCACTCTGAGAGCGGTGGTTTCCAGTGTGACTTGTAAATAAGCCCACATATTGCTGGAGATCCATCCAACCAGCTAAACTGAATGTGAGAAGTAGACATCAACTCCAGTTGAGCCAACGACTGGTCACTTATGGCTCAAGAGGCAGTGCACTGCTGTGGATGTGACCCCTGAGCCGTGGAGGGGGTCCTACCTGACCCCTTAGATACACCGGAGGCAGGGCCGCCAGGAGACCCCACCTTCCTCCGTGGTCGTGGGTCCTCATCGGGGCTTGGCCATCCAGGCCGCCGCACAGGCTCACCAGCAGGGCCCACCACAGGCCTTACCTGGCCTCACCCAGCTGGGCCCCAGCTCGTCTGCAGGGACAAGAGCCCTGCTGTCCACACAGCACAGGGCCATCTGTGTCCCGTGGGGTGGCCCAGACTGAGAGCCCACCAAGGTGTGAGCTCAGCTCTGCCAGGCCTTACTCTGCACCGTGGGCGCCCGTCCGTGGAGGTGAGTCCTTGCTCGGTGAGTCGCAGGGGCTTAGATACTGGTTCTAACAAGTGGCCCATAAGTAAGCACCTCAGCAGAGCCAGAGCTGAGTCTCTGGCAGCATCTAAAACTGGAAACTGGGAAAAATAGGCAAAACAAATACAGATAAATTTGTTTTTAATAAAGGAGTTAATTTTCTTTCAACCCTATATAAAACAATAGCAATTAAAAACTT